CAGCACCCCAACCCCCTAATTGGCCCTGCTCTGTGAGTGACAGGGTGCAGCGCCCCAACCCCCCAATCGGCCCTACCCTGAGTGTGACTGAGGGTGGCATCACAACCTCCCGATCCGCCCTGCTCTGTGCATGACAGGGGGCGGCGCCCCAACTCCCCAATCGGCCCTGCTCTGAGCCTGACCAGGGGCTGCACCTAGGGATTGGGCGTGCCCTCTGCCACTCGGGAGCAGGCCTAAGCCAGCAGGTCGTTATCTCCCGAGGGGTCCCAGACTGCGAGAGGGCACAGGCCGGGCTGGGGGAACCCCCTCCCCCCCGAGTGCACAAATTTTTGTGCACTGGGCCTCTAGTTAGAATATATTGGGTTATTGAGATTTGTAGCTAACATTTATTGAAGACCTCCTAGGTACAGGGCGCTTGTTAAGTAAGCTTTCTATAGCATCTCATTAAATTCTCAAAATAATCCCCTGAAGAAGATACTAGTATTATACCTTTTTTACAAATGTTTACAAATGTCACACAGGCTTAGTAATTCAATCAAGTCAGAAGTCACAGCCATAGTCTAATTATAAAACAGGAGTTCTCAACCACCTGTACTCCAAATTCATTAGAACTGAAAGAAATTGTGTCTTTTCCATGGACTCTTAAGGACCCTCACACTTCCTCCACATACATTCACAAAATGCATGTTCATTACTTTAGGACTTTTCCCTTAATCTTCCCCTTTTCTCAAGAACTTTCCTAATGTCATAGCCAGTCTTGTGGTAAAACAGAAACAAAATTTCAAGCCAGACTGACCAGGGTTTGAATGTCAAATCTATCCATTACCTACTACCAAATTTTTTAGATTCCCTAAGCCTCGATCTCATCTATAAAATTTCTATGATATATGTGTAAAATAAGATTTAATATTGTCATTTATGCACAGTAAAAGAAATAAAAAATTCCTGAATCCCCTTGCTGGAGTATGGATTTTCAACTTTTAAAAACTATAACCCACAGTAAGAATATATTTTGCTTTGCAACTGAATTTACACATACACATACACACACAAAGAACTGAAACAAGTTTCATGAGTACTGCTTGCCTTTACTACTTGTAGTACACAGTGACCTATTCTATTCTATTCTATTCTATTCTATTCTATTCTATTCCATTCCATTCCATTCCATTCCATTAGTGGCTGGTCATGACTCACTAAACTGATTTTGTGAAGCACAGATGGGTCAACATTGAAAAAATGCTGAGCTGTTTGGATTCTTTTATGTAAGGAGGCATATTTTGTTTATTTTTGTGTTAGTTTTGGCACAGAGTAGGCATTTGGTAAATATTTGCTGTAGAACTGGGTTTCCTTGAGGACAGGAGTCTTGTCTTAGTTACCTTGTATGTATCCCACATTTAGTATAATTCTTTCCACAATACTTAGAGAACAAATGACTAAAACGCAGGCCTATTTCCAGGCTTTAGAGATCAAACATTTGGATCAATCAATATGTGACAAGCATCTACAATGTGGCAATACCTAAATGCCAAATTCCTGGCTCCTTCTGTTAATTATCTTAAAAGCAGTGTGGGATCGCTGAGGGGGAACAATGAATACATGTTGCCCAACTGAGAAATTTAAAAAATGAGTAAGACATATGGAGGCCATAATATCACCTTTATTAATAATGAAGACTAAGTTAGAGAACGCATAACAATGTGAGAGCCAGTCAGGCCTGTTAATTAACCCCTAATTTGAGGCATTGCTGAAGTGGGGTGGCCCTCCCTCATGCCCAAGCAGAATGTGGGAGGAAATGAGCTCAGCAAACCCAGTTTGTTTTTTCTAAATGTACTAATTAGATAAGTCACTCCTCCCCTGACCAGCGACAGAGGGAGTAAAAGCATAGAGAGACCAGACATATTATTACCAATTGAGCTTCCTCTTTTATGGAAGGAAATAGCAGAGGAGTAGATGTTCCCTTTAAAAAATCATATTTTGGAAACGACATATATAGGTGAAATGCTAAATAATATATATGTATATATAAATTACTACATAATATAAAACAACCCAAGGAATATCAAAGGTGGATACCTAATTAATTTTTATTTTATTTTATTTTTTTAAAAATATATTTTATTGATTTTTTTACAGAGAGGAAGGGAGAGGGATAGAGAGTCACAAACATCGATGAGAGAGAAACATCGATCAGCTGCCTCCTGCACACCCCCTACTGGGGATGTGCACGCAACCAAGGTACATGCCCTTGACCGGAATTGAACCTGGGACCCTTGAGTCCGCAGGCCGACACTCTATCCACTGAGCCAAACCGGTTAGGGCTAATTTTTAAATATAGTTGGTACTAGTGTTTTTCAAGTCTGACTGTTTATCAAAACCTGGAGGACACTATCAACAATAAAAAATATATTTAAAGTGTGTCGGGGTGTGTGTGTGTGGGTGTGAGTGTGTGCGTTCTGAGTGTGTGTGTGTATTTGTGTATCGGTGGTCCCTCAGGTCCTGGATGTTGTGGACAGTATGAGGCAAGCGCAGGGCGATGGAGACCAGTTTAAAATATGTATATATATGTATATATCTCCTATATAATAAAAAGCTAATATGCAAATTGACCAAATGGTGGAACGACCGGTTGCTATGATATGCACTGACCACCAGGGGGCAGATGCTCAGTGCAGGAGCTGCTTCCTGATGGTCAGTGGGCTCCCACAGTGGGAGCGCTGCTCAGCCAGAAGCTGGACTAATGGCTGGCAAGAGCAGCGGTGCTGGTGGAAGCCTCTCATGCCTCCACAGCAGCGCTAAGGATGTCTGAGGGCTCCCAGACTGCAAGAGGGCGCAGACTGGGCTGAGGGACCTCCCCCTCCAAGTGCACGAATTTTGTGCACCGGGCCTCTAGTCTAAAATAACACCCCTATCTTTATCACCTTGTCTTTCTTGTTTTCAATATAGGAATTAGCAGTTCCTGAGATTTCCTTATTTACACTTATTGTCTGTATCTTCCAACTATAATAATAATCTTGAGCATAAACACCTTTGCTGTACCCCTAGCACTTACAACAGTGCTTGGCATATGTGAAGAATAGAGAGAAAAGCCTTTAAAATAAATTCTTCCAGTTCTGTTTTTTTCAACTCTTCAACTAGGTTTTAATAAAATGTGTTTTATTTTTGCAATAGAATTGAACCATCTATTAAAAAGGCATCAATTGATTAAAAAAAAACATCTTAGTTGCACTGGGCTCATTCTCTCCTCATAGAAAATTGTATTAAATCTTTGGCAGAGTCATTATCCCTTAATATTTTCATACACCAGTATAGTATGGATTTGTTCATAATACTGTTGTGTAGGGAATACACAATTATTTTCAAATATATCCTGACATGGTGAGGATATATTTAATAAATCCAGGGATTGCTGCATAGATTCTGTGTGTTGTTTTTTTTTTTTGTTTTTTTTTTTTTTAGAGAGGAGAGGGTAAAGGAATTTGTAGAATGGAAAGGTATTTCAGGGAGCAAGAGAGTCATAGGAAAACATGAAGGTTTTATCTGGTTCTTTCTAAAAGTGGACTATACATTTATTCTCTCCTCTTTTGGGGGCACCTCCTTAATGAATGAATGTAATCTGGCAGAATTGAAGACTTTTAATTTCAGGTGGAGAGAGAAAACTTGAGCTTATGAAAGTGTCCTGTTTCACAGTGGTTTGTTCAAGCCAGTGCGGCAAAATCTTCAGTTGTGGGTCATCTGTCGCTTGGTCTCAAGGGAGCAGCATGGATTAAACTGACAACTGAGGTGAATTAAGGGCAAAGCAGATGTCCTTAAGTCCCCCGCGGACCATTTCTAAAATACATTATCTTAGAAAACATACAACATCTGTTACAGGGAGAAAAGGGAGATTCCGTGCCTCAGGCCGGTGTCTTCGGCAGGGATGTGAGGACTTGCTCAAAAGTCCCAAGTATACAACCAGCGCCCCCAGCTATAAAGCTAGGTTCACAGGCAACCAGTTTTTCAGGCAGCTGCCACCCCTTTCTTTCCTCTTCGTGCTTGGTCAATCATGGTTTTAAACAAAACGGCTTTGTATGTGGAGTAATGGTTTAACTAACTCCGGCGCTTTGGCACAGACAACTGCGCGGGTACTGGGAATACAAAACCCGCAGTCTGAAGACAGAGGTTGTGGCTTGAGAAAAACCAAAGGCAGAGAGGGGGAGACAGGGAGGGAGAAGCAACGCTGCTGAGTCGGTGGTGCATTCTGGGAGTTGTAGTCCATGTGGGACAGCTTTCTCAAGCCTCCACGGGGCTCTGGACTCCAATTCCCAGCCGCCCCTGCGCCACGGAGGAGGCCAGGGGTGGGGACTACGGGGGCTGAGCTGTCGCAGGGGGAGGGGGCCTGGGGCTGAGAAGCAGCTGTTAGCGGCTGCCAGGAGACGTTATCGGCCGTTCGTTAGGGCCGAGGAAACCCTCGAGAGGGCGGCGACGTGGGCCGTGTGATCGCCGCGCGTCCCTGTGCCTGTCCTCTCCTTCCACGGGCGCGTGGGGTCCGCCATGGAAGCGCATCCGGTCGCCGCCGGGGTCTCCCGGCACCGCGTCCCAGGCTCCCGGGAGCGATGAGGGGGTAGACGAGGCATTCCGCGACCCGCCTCTGCCCGCGCTCCGCCCGCCGGGGCGTGAAGAAGGGTCGGCCGGGTTGGCCCGCCGGCCGCGGTGTCTGCCCCGCGCCGCCCCGCCCCCCCCCTGAGCCGCCCGCCTCAAATGCCCCACGCCGCAGCATTGCGTGTGGACCCGTCACTGAAGTCAGGGATCTGCCTGGCTCCGGCCGTGCCTCCGTCTACTGGTTTTTAGCACGTCGGCTCTTCTACGCGAAATGGGTGGGAAAATGGCGTATTACCTTGCTGGAT